AGCTCGGGAAAACCACCACCACAAATAACCAGAGGAATTGACTGCGTGTACAATGTAGCAAACAACTAAAGAAATTTTTTTTTCTAGAGAGACATTTAAAACTGTCAATTATAATATTCTCAGTTGTTTCTTAAACAGATGTCTTTTCAAACAGAAATGTTATTTTTAAGTCAATAGTTTTTACTGTCATTACATTGGCAAGAATATCCTCCTTAAGAATAATACTTTTTTAAAATGTCAAAAGAAATCAATACTCTTACAGCTTTCTCTATAGGAATACAGATGGAAATCTATTGTTCTTCTGTTCTGAGTGATTCCAGATGCTGATTCTTACTGCACCACAGAAGATCTTTTTGACACAGGTATCCACACCTTTCAGAATGGGAAATTTGTTTCTGGGCTAAAGATGGACATTCTAAAAAGAGTATAAAGACAATTTCAAATGCTGACATTTCCAATAGCCCAAGGTTCAAAAGATAGGATTACCACCTTCGTGCTGAGCCCTAATGACCATGTTTTTAAAGTGCAAAATACAAAGCCTTGGAAACATTTACTATATTAGCTTCCTTGTCTCTTCTGTTTTCTTTGTCTCCTGCTTGGATAATTTTCTTTTTTCCTCTCTCCCACAAATTATTTCCTATCTCCTCCTTTAGTTTCAGCCTCTGTACCCCATCAAGTAACTTTATATTAGCACTCCCCCTTCCTTTAGTTGATACATTCTTTTAATAGCCAAAAAATACTTCTTCAGTAATCTTAAAAAGTCAACTTCCATAAATCTACTCATATAAGTTTCTCAAATTGTGGGTCCTGCATACCCAAAAAGTCCTGGAGGTATTCGATACAGGGTGGTGGGCAATAGGGAAGATCACAAGGAACCAGCTGTCCAGGACTTAAAGGAATTAAATGTATATTTGCAGCCAGAAATTATAAATACAGTTCTCTTTCCTTCTCAGTCCACTTAGAAAGAACCACCATCAAGAGGAAGAGAAAGATTTCTCCCAAAGTTTGTTCAGAACCTTAAGACCACTGTCCTGACTTCCATTTTCACTTTTCTGAGGTCATGCCCTTGACACTTGGCCTTGCATATCCAGTTCTCTGCTTATTACTGAAAATACTTTAAAATTTGTGGTCTTCAAAAACTCAAAAGGTTCCTTCATCACAGGCGATACTACCTCTCCACTCCAGACCACCCTCTCCTTCAAATCTGTAACTGCAGCTTACCTATTTGACATAAGTCTCACGAGTCACTCACTGTCACTTCAAGCTCAGTGGATTTGCCTCCTCTCCCCTTCCCTGTTCGGTACACCTGTGGACGAGCTCTCCACTGTGTGTGCCCATCTGCTCTCCACCTGATTGCCTTTAATAGCTTGAATGCCACTTCAGATTCCACTAACAGGTTGCTACTTAAAGTTTGAGCTTTCTCATTTCTGTTTTGTTTGTACCTCTAATGTTCATATCTAGAGTCTAAACTTGCATTTTGATTATTGCAACATTCCAGTGAAAATCCCAATAGACTTAAAATTTGAGAAATCTGCTTATGTACAGAACAACAGATTGGATTACTGTGATAAATTAGGATAAATACACTTCTTGTAAAGTGATATTTATAGGCATCATTGCCACATCGTACTAAGAATAAATTGCCACATCGTACTAAGAATAAATTATCTGCCATGATGTCAGTGGACAAGTTCAAGAAAATACTGGATAAGTTTCGGAAAGTAAAAACCAGGGATATTAAATAAGGCATAATCTCTGGGTCAACAAGTTGATTAGCTAAGCTGCAAATCAGTTTATGGGGACAAACAAGTGCTTACCATATTGTTCTAATCTTCCTCAAGCATCAGCCAAAACATGCCCAACTTAAGAAGGATTCCTGC